CGGTCGAATCCGTCTTGGCTTTGAACGGCTTCTGCTACAGCAGACCAGCGCACCATGACCTGTCCACGTTTGGCCATGAAGGGCAGGCGTCCATTGATCTCACGGAGAAGAAGGATGTCTTCGTCCTCCGTGAAACGGCTCTTCGTCGGTGTGGACATGGTGGCAGGTGGCTCGAGCAAATGAATGGTGTAGTGGCGTGGCGTTTATCCCTACACAGAGACAATTCCCGTGCAAAAGCATAAAGTATGGTGAGTTTTACTATTTGATCCCAGAGGTAAGTTCTTGTTTTGTCAAACACGTGGAATTGAAGTGCCGGGGGAGTGGCCGGACGGTTTGCAAAATCTCTCTATTATACTTATATTTCAGTACATATTGGTTCCAGTAAGTAATGCCTCATTTTGGCAAGTACACTACGTCGATTACTGTAATTGAGTTTGGATTATCATTTGTTTAAGACATTCCTCCGCGAGGGCCGATACTAGAACCACATGTTGTGGAACCGTTTCTCCAATTGTAACGCGCCTGCTGGACTAGGGGCGGTGTGTAATCTTCGGTTTTTACTTCGCTCATCGCTTCATACCGAATAATTCCCTCATTAAAACAGTTCCAGATAACCCCGGAGATTTAGCATCGTATGTATTCACCGGGGGTAGGACGGAATCCCAGGTTACAGGGCTACTGGCGAAAAGGTGTATCCGAATGTAATAATTCCCTCATGGAAACAATATTTCGGGTCAAAGCAACAGCGGAACTGTTTTGATGAGGGAATTGTACCTTCATACCTCGTGCTTCGACCGATCTTTTCCGAAGTTCGGTCTTCGTCTTCGTACGCAGCCCTTGTTATCCGGATTCCCCAGTGGAGGGCGGATAAATCCTTGCGGAAATAATCTGGGGAAACCGGGGTAACCTACGTCGAAATAGGCCTGTAAACAATAGTATCTATTGGCTTGCTCATATCGCTTAGTATTACTATCTGTGGATAGTACCTTGAAGTAACTCAATACAAATCCTAGTATATTTGAGTACCATTATACTAGACTCCCTTATATTTTCTTCCAGAGTACATAGTACAGTACTACGTATACAGTACAGTGACGGCAAACGTCAATAAACAGTCTGATTACACTGTCGAACCATTGGGGATGCCCTAACGACAAACGTCAATAAGCAGTCTAATTACACTGTCGAACCATTAGGGATGCTCTAACCATCCATCTCTACGAGTGGTTTTGAAGCCAGGTAGGTAACTACGAACTGTCACAACCAATATATCATCTGCCCCTGGAACTTCGAATAACCTATTTCTGATTGTTCCAGAAACAAGGGACTAGTATTCATTTTCTCATTCCTTACAAAAGAATAATTCATTTTTATACGAACCATGCAAAGAAACAATTCATTTTTATACGAAAAATGAATTAATTCACAAGAAATTTTTTTCATACGCCGCACAGGACGTGGGTGTCGGTGCTGTTGACGTCCTTGTCGCCTTGGGTGT